GTGGTGAAATGCAGTGGCTAGTACTTTCCTGTAATCTAAACCAGCTGCTGTGAAGTGCTAAAAAAAACATTCAGTTTCTTCAACCTCAACTCCAAAACAACTCAGAACGGAAGTTATAACTCAAAAACATTAAGAAAATTCTTTAACATGGTTATCTACGGATTTTGACCTAACACTTAACAACGTCAGCGAATCAACGAAAAACCAAAGCATCTAAATAAAGTTTGTAACTTGCTGAAAAATCTATTGAAATTAAAAAAAAAAAAAAGAAAAAACCTGAGGAGGTTTTAAGGAACGTATCGAGGAACGCTGAGAAGGCGTGTGAAGAGAAGCGGCGTTCTTAGTTTGCAATCGAATGGAACCAAAAGTATCCTGCAAATAACAGGCAGAAGTGCTTTTTTAAATAAAGTGAGCAACAAAAACTCAGTTATTATAACACATATTCACTATAAATAAGCTAAATGCGGTATATTTCTCCAATTACTTTTAGAGCCATGTTTGTCAGGCTTCAGATATGTCTTCAGCTTCGTAAAATTACCTCTTTTCCGACTGTAAGGAAAAAGAAAGGAGAAAAACAGATGAGTAAAAGGGCACAAAGTGGCAAAAAAAGACGCAAAAATTTTAAATGCTAGCAAAAAAAGACCTGATCGAGTTTTAATTTTTTTTCCACAAGTTTCTCGCAATCATCGCAAAGCGGATAAGTCCTGTGCAACAATGCTTTATAGTCCTCGAACTCGGCATCGAAATCCTTCTAAAATAATGTTTGTTAAAGAAAATAATGTAAGATAATTCGTTCGTCTCCTACAGAGATCTATCATCAATTCGCAAGGTCCAGATTACTAAAAAGTTTAATAAAAATAGAAATAATGAAAAAATTAACCAGGTTTTTTTTCACAAATTTAAATTTAGATATTTTGTGGTTATGAAAAAGGTTGTAACAAAGTAAAAAGTAAAAGTAAAAAAAAATTTGCTTCCTTTTAAAAATATTTCGTTACAACACGCCACATTTCTAGCTCTTTCAAATTTTACATTACAATCTGCAGATTCCATCCTTTTCTTTTATTTCATAAAATTATTTCAGTCCTTCCCCCCCCCCCCCCCCCCCCCCCCCCCCCCCCCCC